ATGACAGACCCACAGCTAGTATCATTGAGTGGGGAAAAACTGAAAGCCTTTTCCCTAAGTCCTGGAACAAGGCAGGGATTTCCACTTACACTTCCAGTCTTATTATCCTTTACCCAGCCTCCTGAATGACGTAAAGAAGACCCCTTTATCACCCTGCTATCTTTTTTCATAGTATTTCTCCCTTTGAAAATATCCAAAATATCCTTTTTGTTTACTTTCTGTTTTTGTTTCATCAGCACATAAGCTTTACGTGAACAGGAGTCTTATATACCTTGCTTACTGCTAAATCCTTAGTGCTTAGGAGAGTGTCTGACACACAGTAGGCATTTGTGGTTATTGAAAGACTGCTAGAATTCCTCATGCAGTTAAGCATAATTTTGTAAGTACAGCTATATTTATTTATCTTTGCGTATTGTTTTTGCTCATTTGTTATTCAAAGTGTTTGCTTTTTATTGATTTCTAAGAACTGTTAATAAAGAGTTACTAATTATGCTGCAAATATTTCCCCCAGAGTCTCATTTGCTTTAAAAATTTCTTCTTCAGTGATATATCTGAAGTGCCTGGCCTAGTGCCTGTTCCTAGTAAGTGCTCAGCAAATTTTAATTAGTTATTATCATTACTCTTATCCATTTTCCATGGCCTCTTAGTTGAAGAAGTCCTTTGGAGGTCTTTCTTTTTATTTTGTCTTCTGGTCTCAATGAAAAACCTGTTCTCCAAATGATTGATATCATGAATGAACTTGCTTTTTTTCTCTGTGTTTAAGGATTTGGCTTTTCTAGGATAACCATGTCTTAATGCAGTATATTAACTGTTACAGTATATTAACTGTTGTAACCAATAGGCGGATGAGGGGAAGGGACTCTTATGGTGAGTACATGCAAAACACACCATCCAGGAATCAGCCAGGCGTTTTGAAGATGTGGTTAATGATGAGGGACTATACACCCCTTCCTGGGGAGGGAGCAGAATATCACTAACAATGTTTAAAGCCAGTCCTCATTTTTTCCTTTTTTTAAAAAATTATGTTAAGGTATAAAATATGTAACACAAAAATTACTGTTTTAATAGTTAAAAATTTTTTATTGGATGGGGCTCGGCTCGGCCTGTAATCCCAGCACTTTGGGAGGCCGAGGTGAGTGGATTGCCTGAGCCCACGGGTTCGAGACCCACCCGGGCAACTTGGTGAGACCTTGTCTCTACAGTAAATCAAAAATTAGCCAGACGTGGTGGTGCGTGACTGTAGTTCCAGCTGAGGTGGAAGGATCGCCGGAACTCAGCAGGTCGAGACTATGGTGGTCGGGAGCATGCCACTGCATTCCAGTCTGGGTGACAGAGTGAGATTCCAACTCAAAAAAAAAAAAATTTTGTAGAGTTGAGGTCTCGCTATGTTGCCTAGGCAGGGTGGTCCCAGAGTCCTGGGCTCAAGCATTCTTCTTGCCTCAGCCTCCTGAAGTGCTGGGATTACAGGCATGAACTACCGTGCCCAGCCTTATGTCAGTAATTCAGTGGCATTAAATACAGTCACATTGTGCAATTGTCACCATCCATCTCCAGACCATATTTTAAATAACTTTATGTTCCTCTGTCTTCATTCCTGAAGTTCCGTATTTCCTTCTGTTATTATTTTTCTTTATCCTGAAACTTTATTTAGCATTCCTTTAGGGCAGATCTGCTGACAACAAGCTTTTAGTTTTCCTTCTTCTGAGAATATCTTTGTTTTGCCTTCAGTCCTACTGCTTGATGTAGAACTCTAGGTTGACAGTTCTTTCCTTTCGGTACTTTAAACAAAAAAATTCCACTGTCTTCTGGCCTCCATTTTTCTCCATAGGAAATCGACATTTGAATAGATGATCCGCTGTATTTGATGAGTTATTTTTCTCTTGCTGCCTTCAAGAATTTTTCTTGCTTTTGGTTGTTTGATTATGACATATCTTTATGTGATTATCTTTGATTTCATCTTGTTTCAGAATTTGCTGTTTAATTAGTAAATTTATATCTTTAACAAATTTAGGGAATTTTTATTCACTTTTTCTTTAGATTTTTTTTTCCTCAATCTTTTCTGGTACTCCCGTGATATGGATGGACCATTTTATATACAGAGAAATATAGAGAAGTAGTGTGTATAAACACACACACACAATTTCTCTTCTTAGAACTTCTGTCTACCTTTAGGTACTTGTGGAGTATTAAAAAAAGAAAAATATAACTTCTACCTTTCTGTTCTTTTCTTCTTTTTTTTTTGAGTTAGAGTCTCACTCTGTCACCCAGACTGGAGTGCAGTGGCTGCTCCCGGCCACTGCAGCCTCGGCCTGCTGGGCTCCGGTGATCTTTCCGCCTCAGCCTTCCAAGTAGCTGGAACTACAGGTGCGCGCTACCATGCCTGGCTAATTTTTTTTGATTTATTGTAGAGATGAGTTCTCGCCAAGTTGCCCAGGCGGGTCTCGAACCTGCGGGCTCAGGCAATCCTCCCAAAGTACTGGGATTATAGACTTTAGCCACCATGCATGGCCTACATTTTCTTTAAGCAGCCTATTGACCTGCATAGTTTTGGATCCCAGGTTCTGTTTCACTACAAATGGTGGTGGTTCCAGTATCAGTTCAGTTTTCAAAGCCTTTAACATGCTGGTTAAGTCTGCTCCCCTGTGTCAGTCAGGACTTGTGTGGGACTTGAGCAGTTCCCAGAACCTGTCCTGTGTTTATTTGGTCTGGTCATGTTTGTGTCAAGGGTGAGCCTGGGACTTCTGTTGATTCACATACAACATTAGGGCATCCCTTGTCCAGTTTTCTCCACTCTGTGGTTTACCCTACGTCTCTAACTTCCAGGGACACTTCTCAGTTTTACACTTGGTAGTCAGGGTTTTTCCCTTAGTTTTAGCCCTGTGTATTGTTATGAAGGTCCACATGGCTGGGATAGATCTCAGGGCAGGGTTGTGAGAGAAAAGAGAACTACCAGAAACTTCCACATCCTGTGTGTTAGGGCTCCAAGAGCCCATCTTCCCTGTTCCCTCTGCTCTCATGGGGATGACTGTAGTGCACCCCAATAGGACCAGGATAGACACAAAGAGGAAAGACAAAAAGAAGAGAAGCACACTGCCTTGCAAGAGCCCCTTTTCCTGGGGCAGTGACTAGAAAGGAGGGTTTCTTCTGGAGTTTGCTCTCTTCATGGTGTGTGCAGTGCAAGTGGAGTCTTGGCTCTAAGAGCCTGTTTTGGATGCCTGGAGTCAAGCTGCTGGTCTCTTAAAACAGTGTGCGTTTCAGCCTCATTGACTGGAAGTCTGAAAGGAGGAAGAAGAGGAACGAAAATACAATGGATGATAATCAGAAGTTTCTATTGCATGTGACCTGAGTGCATCAACCATTGCGTGTGCCCACCTTTACAAGTTACTCCAACATCACTCTTCCCCTGTGGCCTCTTGTTACTATCTGTAGTGTATATGACAACATGCTGTTTCTGTTGGAGTCTCCAGGCAGTTAGGACTGCATGCCAGATTTCCTTGAGACTCACTGTGTTCTCTTGAAAGGAAAAAGTCTTTCATGATACCGACCTTTCTGTAAATGCACTTTAGCAGTGTGTATTATAATTACCTGTTCATGTGTTTGGTCCATCTGTTTTCTCATTTTTCATTTCTGGAGAACTCTTAATTTGTACTTCTTGCGTTCTTCCTTTTTCTCACCACCAAACCCTTCAAGAGGTTCATCCCTCTTCCTGTGTGGAATTCCACCCCTGACATTGACACCTTATTAACCAGGCTTGCTGCCTTGGCTCTGTGCACCCTCCTGTGGATTCCCCAGTATCCAGTGCTGTGATCTCAGACAGATTGCCCTCTGGATATAATTTTTATCTGTGTTTCTCCACTACCAGGGTCCTGTTTCTCCAGCTTGCCTTGCCTGCCTGTGATCCAGACTGGGCTCTGAAGTGCTCTGGAACTGACTCTGTTAGTTTAGTATACTTATTTCCCTCCTTACATATACATTAAGGTTTGTAGTATTGCCTGTTCCTTAGTTATGTTTTAATTGTGAGGTTTGATTGGTTTTATTTGTCTTCCATATGAAATTTAGGAAATGTGAGAAGAGACTTCAGTTTCTGTAACTGCCATTATCCCGTAGAAACCCAGAAATCTGCTTCCTTATTTCTCACATCGAAACAATACCTCCCACATATACTTGATGTAAAATTAAATAAAATAGCACTTGTTGAATTACAGTGATAGCTTCTGACAAATTCATTGTTCTTAAAAAGGTAAGTTTTTTTAGAGATAAGTTACATTTTTGATTGAGGAAAGATAAAATGAACAGTATTGATGATAGACGAGACTGCCTGTTTCTTGGAATCAGAAGAGGATTGTTGAGCTCTAAAGGGTACACTGGTTGTTGAGGTTTTTTTCATTGAATAGCAAGTTTTAGTGAAGTGAATACAGAGACAGAATAAATGGGGCAAAGCATTATTCTCTAAATATATAAACTCTGAAAACAAACCAAGAGACAATGTTCATTCCTTCCAGGATACAGACAACTGTGTATTGTTGAGAGTCATGTCTAGAACTTTGGTGGATGCCTGTAAAATTGTATAACATGGAATGTTTAGATGTTACCTGTAGGATTACATTTTTTTGCTATAGTGATGTTTCAGAGGATTAGTTATCTCTGACTGAGATAAGCACGATGAATGGGTGTGTTGGGCAGTGCTAGTTGTGCCATCAAGCTGACCATCCCCACCAAAGGTGCTTTGAGGATTAGGCTCATAGCCTGGGTGATAGAGGCTTCTTCAGCTATTGCAGGTCTCCTTGGGCAGCCTTTCCTTAGTTATTTATCTTAGCTACTTTTTGCAAGAGGAAATAACATCACTATGTAGTGTTATTTATAATGGTTTGCTCAACTGAAGGGCTGCTTAGTTTGAGGGAAAAAAATGTGTGATTAGTAGTAATATGGCAGATATTTTCCTAAATGAAAAACTTATACTGTAAAGAAGACTGCAGCACTCTCTTCTTACCTTTAACCAGGTACCAGCTGGAAGATGAGTCTGCCCATTTGGATGAAATGCCACTAATGATGTCTGAAGAAGGCTTTGAGAATGATGAAAGTGATTACCACACATTACCACGTGCTAGAATAACGCAAAGAAAAAGAGGACTACAGTGGTTTGTCTGTGGTGGTTGGAAGTTCCTCTGTACAAGGTTTGTTTCCCATTGCTACTTGATTTCCTTGTGCTCTAAAGTTATTTATAAGCTTAGCTAGCTTCTAATATGTTTATTTGATGTATCGATATGTATTGCTATAAATGCTCACAAAGATAATTTCCAAATGATATCATGGAGCATATTAATAACATTAAGTCAGAACCAAAAAATGTTAATATGAAGGGAAAGGAAAGCCAAATTCATTACTTTATGGGCCGTTTTAATGGTTAAAAACTGAAGAAAATTAGTGATTTTATAGTTTATGCATAGGAGAATTAACCCTGGTCACTCTATCAACATTTATAAATGGTGTTTCTTTCTCACCTAGAAAGGTAGATATGGGCCTATAAAATGTAATTGAATAACAATGTAGTTGTATGTATTGTTTATCTTTAATGCTTTGTCTTGGAATAAGATTCTTCTGTTAATTTCACCAACAAGATACCAAGATAAGGATTCCTCAAATTTCAAACAGGCTCCCTGGTAGTTGAGATAAACTGGTATGATTTGCCTTTGCCTAGAGTGTGGTATGAACATCTAAGATACTTTTCCACTGATTCTACTGCCCATACCAAGGACCGGCAGGATGAGATAACAGCCAAATGATGCCTTGTGACTTTCGCAGAGGATGCTAGATTCATTACAGCTTTTTTAGTCTTTCCGCTGTTCAAGACTTATAGTCTACGCCTTTGTTGCCATTGTGAATTTATCTCCTTTAGTACATAAAAGAAATATGAATACTTGTGGAAAAATATCTTGCTCATTGTGCCTTTAGAAGTTTACAAATAGCTGTTTTTATAACTGATTTGATTTTTGGGTCAGCTTGTGAGGTGGAATTTTAAATTATATTGAGATGCAGTAATTCTGAGAAATCTCTCAAAAATTGGCAACAGAATAAGAGGATGAGGCTGAGAAAGGCTTAGGTTCATCATTTCCTATTACTTTCAAACAAAGTAACTGTCTTTTCCTTTATGTCTTATAAGCTTTCATTTGAAGAAGGAATTTCATGGCTAAACAATGTTTTAACAATTGCTGACTTGTGGTACTAAATAAGGGTCTGTGGCTTATTTAAAACATTTTCTAGGTTGAATAGCCAAATTCCAGCATTTCTGGAGTGTTCTTTTAGGTGCATATTTAATTAGGGAGTTAATTTTTTTTTAGATTTGAGTTTTCACTCTTTCCTTCAGGGTGGAGTGCAGTGATGCAAACATGGCTCCCTCAAACCTCAAGCTCCTGGGCTTAAATGATCCTTCCACTTAGCCTCTCAAGTAGCTGGGACTAAAGGTGTGCATGCCACTATGCCCTGCTCATTTAAAACAATTTTTTGTAAATGGCTAGGCTGGTCTTGAACTCCTGGACTCAAGCAGTCTTCCTGCCTCAGCCTCCCTGTGTGCTGGGCTTACAGATGTGAGCCACTGTGCCTGGACAGAGTTAATTTCTTTAGCACATATGAGACTGCAGATTTTTGTGTGTGTCAGTCATGATTTGTGCTTTTCAAGGGATTTGTCTGTTTTCAAATTTATATTAGCATAAGGTTATTCATAATATTCTTTATGTGATCTAATACCTGAGACCTGAAGTTGGAGTCTCACTGTGTTGCCCAAGCTGGAGTGCAATGGCACATTCACGGCCACCCCTGCGTCAACCTGCTGGGCTCCGGCAATCCTTCTGCTTCAGCCTTAAGTAGCCGGAACTACAGGCATGCACTACCATATCTGGCTAATTTTTTGTTTATTGTAGAGATGAAGTCTCGCCAAGTTGCCCAGGCTCTTCTTGAACCCGTGAGCTCAGGCAGTCCACTCACCTCGGCCTCCCAAAGTGCTGGGATTACTGACTGAGCCACTGAGCCTGGCCTTCTTTTACTTTTAAACTTTTATCTTGAAATAAGTTCAAACATATACAAAAGTTATGAAAACAGTATAGAGAACTCCTGTATACCTTTTACACAGATTCACTAACTTGAAAAAGTTTTTTGCTACATTTATCTTTTTTTTTTTGAGTTGGAATCTCACTCTGTCGCCCAGACTGGAGTGCAGTGGCCGCTCCCGGCCACCGCAGCCTCGACCTACTGGGCTCCGGCGATCCTTCCGAGTAGCCAGAATTACAGGCATGCGCTACCACGCCTGGCTGATTTTTTTTTTGACTTATTGTAGAGATGAGGTCTCGCTGCCCAGGTGGGTCTCGAACCTGTGGGCTCAGGCAATCCACTCACCTTATCATTCTTTTTATATCTGCTATTATTTTCTGAGTCATTTCAGAAAACCACTTCATTCCTCTTTACCTCTTACTTCTTCACTGTTTATTTCCTAAGAAAAATGATATTTTTTTATATAACCATAGTGCAGTTATCAAATTTAACATGGGTATAGTACTTTATATCTAGTTTAAGTCTATGTTTCAGTGTTGTCTGTTATCCCAGTAATGTTCTTTGTAGCTTATTTTCTCTAATAGTGAGTGGTCACATGTTGCATTTGGCAGATGAGTCTCCTTTAATCTGGAGAAGTTGTTTACTGTTTTGTTTTTTTTTGTCTTCTATCCCATTTTTGAATAATCAAGATTATTTTGTAGAATGTTTCAAATTTTTTGTTTGATGTTTCTTCACTATTAGACTCAGCTTAAAAATTATCTGTAGAATGCTATATAAGTGATCCCTTTTAGGGTGTTTGCTTCCTAGTTTATTGAGTTCTGATCTTCCCTTTATTTTCTCTCTTAAACTCTTTTTTGACTTTGCTTTTCTTTTTCTAATTTCTAAGATGAATGCCCAGGTCTCCAATACTCTACCTTTTTCTTTTCTAAACATAGGTGCACCTAAGTTTTGATATATGGTATTTTTTTTTTATCATTGAGTTCCAAATATTTTCTAATTTCTGCCGTCATTTCTACTTTAATCCATGTTCTGTTTGAAATTTATATTGCTTCATTTTCAAACAGGATTTTTTTGTAGTTAATTTGTATCTTAATTTCATTGGGGCCAGAGAACATACTTATAATTTTCTTTTTTTTTTTTTTAAGTTGCAGACTTTGTAATTTGTTGAGACTTGGTTTATGGTTCATCATATAAAGAACTTATAGTAGATTTTCTGTTTGTGCCTATGGGTCCTTTATCATACATATAGTTTACACATATTTTCTTCTAGTCTGTGTCCTGTCTTGTCCCTTGAAAGAGTATTTGGCAGATCCAACATTTTAGATTTTGATGAGGTCCAATTTATTTCTTTCATTACCTTTGTGGATTGTGCTTTTGGTATTGGTATCACATCTAAGAATTTCACCAAGCTCTGTGTCCTGAAGACTTTCTTCTAAAAATTTTATAGCTTTACATTTGTGTCTTTTTTGAGCTAATTTTTTATAAGGAGGTTTAGATTGAGGTTTCTTTTTTTGCCAGTGTTTTAGTACCATTTCTTGAAAGACCGTCCTTTTTCCATTGAATTGTTTTTACTTCTATGTCAACAGTCAGTTCGTTGTATGCAAGTGGGACTCTGTGCCTTGGTTCTGTTTTTTTTATCCATAGCTTCTGTGTGTCTGTCCCTGTCAGTATCACACCGTGTGCTGCACTGTAGCTTTATAGAATGTTTTAAAATGGGTAGACTGATTCTCCTCCTTTATTTTTTAAAAAATATCTTTTAGCCATTCTGGTTCCTTTGCCTTTCCATAGAAATATTAGAATAATCTTGTCTATAACTATAAAGTCCTTAATAGGATTTCGATAGGAATTGTGTTGAATTTTTGTATTAATTTGGGGGGAATTGACATCTTTATTGTGGTTAGTCTTTTAGATTATGAACATGGTACTTCATTTATTTGGATATAATTTGATCTCTTTCAGCAGTGTTTTATAGTTTTCAGCATGCAAATGTTAGATTTATTCCCAAGTATTTAATTTTTTTTGAGTGATTGTAAATGGTATAGTATTTCAAATTTTGGTTTCCACGGGTTTATTTCTAGTTTATATAGAAAGTTGTTGATTTTTGTATGTTTATCTTTTATCTTGTAACCTTGCAGAACTCACTTATTAGTTCTAAGAATGTTTTTATAGATTCCTTATAATCTTCTATATAGACAGTCATGTCATCTGCTATTTCCTTCTTTGTGATTTGTATGGCTTTTATTTTTCTTACCTTGCTTTGTGGAACTGCTTAGAATACATAGCATTGTGTGGAAGATCAGGGCAAGTGCGACACCCACCTTATTCCACCTCAGGCAGGAGCTGCCAGTATCTCACCATTAAATACCCTGTAAGCTGTGGCATTTTTAAAGATGCTCTTCATCTAAAACTATTTGTACATATTTTTTAGAAATCTTTCTTTTATTAAAAAACAAAGCAAAGCACTGGCAAGAGAATTGGCTTAATATATACAATTCCATCAGCTCCAGATGCAGGATCTGGAGCTGTAGCTTTGAGTGTCCTTATCATTGTGTTGATTCTGGAAGCCATGTGGAAGTCTCCTGAAAATGTCAGGATACATGCAGAATAGGCCTGCGAAGAATAAAGGAAGGGACAACTTTGGAAAGAAGATGGTTTTGGAAAGGAAGAACAATATCCATCCTTTTTGGCAGGAGAAAAATAGGGAAGGAAGAGTGAAATAGCGGTGGTAAAGATGACTTTTATTCTTAATTGGGAACTTAGGTCATTTGAGGGAGGCTGAGGTGAGCAGATTGCCTGAGCCCACAGGTTCGAGAACAGCCTGGACCACTTGGTGAGACCTCATCTCTACAATAAATCAAAAAATTAGCCGGGCATGGTAGCGCGCGCCTATAGTTCCGGCTACTTGGAAGGCTGAGGTGGAAGGATCGCCAGAGCTCAGTAGGTCGAGGCTGTGGTGGCCGGGCACTCCAGTCTGGGCAACAGAGTGAGACTCCAACTCATAAAAAAATAAAATAAAATAAAAAGATGACCTTTATTCTTAATTGGGAACTTAGGTCATTTGAGGGAGGCTGAGGTGAGCAGATTGCCTGAGCCCATAGGTTCGAGAACAGCCTGGACCACTTGGTGAGAC